TTACACCTTCCTGCCCAGGCCATTTTTCAGGTTTCAGCGCTCTCACATTTTGAATGACAATTGCGCGGTCATACAACACTGTACCCAAACTAAAATTGTATTATTTTCTTCACACAACTAGAGCTTTCTTTTGGTTGTATTTAATCACCGCTGGGGTTTTTATTTTTTGCTAAATTAACAAAAAAAGACCAAAAATTTTGGAAAAAAAAAACACATTTTTCTTTGTTTCTGTTATAAACGTTTACTAATAAATAATTGTTCTTCATGAATTTAGGCCGAGATGTATTCTGCTACATGTCTTTGCTGAAAATAACCCAAATTAGGATGTATTTTTTAGTTTGTAGGAAAGTTATAGAGTTCACAAACTATGGTATAGATCTGAATATTGATCAATCCTGAAGTACTGACGGCCAATCTAATTTCTTGAGGTCCAAGAATGTCAGAACAGTACAGATATCCCCAAATGACCCCTTTTTGCAGAGTAGACAGTCCGACGTACTTCATAAGAGGCATGGCGAGTTTTTTGAAGTTGTATTTTTTTGTCATAATTTTTCGGAAAATGAAAAATTGAAAAAAATTATTTTCACTATTTTTTTTTCACATACTGTCACCAGTGCAGTACAGCGTCATCATATAACTGGCATGGCGGTGAACAGGGACACTGACTGGTGACAGTATGAAAAAAAATATATATTTATTTTTTTATTTATTTTTTTTATTATATTAAATTTTTTATTACATTTTTTTTAATTTTTTTTAAGATTTCTTTTTCATATTTTACTATGACCAAAGTAGTACAATGTTACCATAGTAACAGTGTACTACTTTGGGGAAGTGATCAGTATTTTTTTTTTTTTTTTTTTTTTTACACAATTTGCTTATAGCAAAGAATTACTTTGCTATAAGCAAGCATTTACCTGAATGAAATCGATTCATTCAGCTTTTTTTTTTTTTTTTTTTTTTTTTTTTTTTTTTTTTTTTTTTTTTTTTTTTTTTTTTTTTTTTTTTTTTGTGCTTAGCTGTGATTTGGTCACAGCTAATCACATGACATGTGCATGTGATTAGCTGTGACCATTCACAGCTAGGCACTAATATACAATGGATGGCATGTCATGTGACCTGCTGTGATTGGTCACAGCAGGTCACATGGTACCAGCAACGGGAGCCGGTTTCTCGGATCTGTCATCGGCCGTGTCTGAGGTGCACGGCCGGTGACAGATCGCACTGCTGCGCCGCTCTGCATTAGCGCAAACGGCGCATGTGCGGGAGCACGCCAAATGGCGTGCACCCGGAATGGAGAGACACTTCTGAAGCCGCCAAGCGGCCATTGGCCGGGCGGCTAATGGTTAAGGGAAGAAAGAAAAATGGAATCCATTTGAATTTTGTTTAGTCACGGGGAGATGGGAAACATGGAACTTAGTAAAGATTTTATATATTTTTAAAGTTAACAACAAACACGGTCCCTGCATATATGGAGAGATGGGAAAGAGAATTAGAATTAAGGATAGAAGAAGATAAAGAAAAAAAGATTTATAAATTAATACACGGTAATGTGATTATGAAAGATGTAGAGATGAATTACAAATGTTTAGCGAGGTGGTATATGACACCAAATATAATACACAAATAAAATAGGGATAAATCACCTTTATGTTGGAGGGGATGTGGGGAACAGGGCACAGTAGGTCACATTTGGTGGGAGTGTTATAAAATCCAAGAATATTGGGAATAAATAATCCATCAGATACAAGAAATAACTGGGATAAAAATACTAAAGGACCCAGGGATATGTCTTTTACATAGAGTTAACGGTTGAAAAATACAAAAATTCTGGGTTATTGCACTATATTAACGCAGCAAAAAGTCTGATTCCTAAATTCTGGATGGAACAGGAAGTACCAAAAACAACGGATTGGATTAGAAAGGTAGATCAGATATATAGAATGGAGGAATTATACCATATAGATGAGGATAAAATGGAGTGTTTTCGTGAGAAATGGAAAAAGTGTGAGGAGTTTCAGAAGGTTAAACTAATTGAAAGTAAATAGGAAACAGGAATGGATGAAAACCCTAGGACTCCAAAAGAGAGGGGAAGAATGCGGAGGGGGGAGGGGAGGGGGGGGGAGGGAAGGGAAGGTGCGGATTGGAATAGGGTGGGGGAAGGGGAAATTTTGTACTTTGGGTGAAAATAGTTGAATAAGTGATATTGAATTTTTCATGGATGGAATGGATGAAATGTAAAACTCAATAAAATACTAATTAAAAAAAAAAAGAATCTGCTGAAGCAGGACTGAAATGTTTTGTAAAAATGACTTTTTTATAAAAAAAAATGTGGGGCCCCCCCCTAATCCTTACCAGACCCTTTAGGTATAGTAGGAAGGTTAGGAGGGAACCTGCAATACATTTTTTTTAAAAAAGTGCATGGAGTTCCCCCTGAAAGCCAGCAGGAGAGGATGGGTCGGTGGGCATCAGGATTTTTTTTATTTTCAGTAAGTCGGCATCATAATGACAACGCTGGACGTCGTCATTGACAATGAATTACAACAATGGAACCATTTTTTTTTTGTAGTAAAAGACTAGTCAAACACTGTTTGTTTTGTTTTTGTTCAATAAAGAAAGTCTGATGTCTTATTTTTTTACTCAATTTAACCTTTTACTGAATGTCTAGGGATACAAGTACCCCTTACTCATTCACAAGGGGGGGGCAGCATCAGGGTGCTCCCTTATTTACAGGGGTAACATGATGCTAATGAGCTCCCCTACCCACAGACCCCCACAACCACCGGGCAAGGGTTGTGGGGATGAGGCCTTGTCCCCATCGGCAATGGGGAAACCGGGCCATGCCAAGGGCATGTGGCCTGGTAAGCTGCAGGGAGGAGGGCGCTCGTCCCTCCCCCCTTTCCTGCCCTGCCAGGCCTGTGCTCGGATCAGGGGTCTGGTAGAAATTTTGGGGGGACCCCACCCTCGCCCCCTCATTTCTTGGGGGTGGGGTTCCCTTTAAAAGTCCTACCAGGCCTAAAGGTCCTAGTAAGGGTTTTAGGGGAACCCCACGCACTTTTTTTCATAATTTTTTACTTTGGGGTCCCTCCTAACCTTAGTGCCTGAACACTGTAACCCCTCACAGTTGCTCTTGCTGGGCCCAGGAATGGGCCTTGCTGTTAAAAATTAGGAAAAAAATAAATTACCGTATTTTTCGCTCCATAAGACGCACCTGACCATAAGACGCGCCTAGGTTTTAGAGGTGAAAAACAAGAAAAAAAAATATTCTGAACCAATGGACTGCAGACATAGTACAGAAAATGACCAGAGACTGCAGACATAGTACACGAGATGACCAGAGACTGCGGACACAGTACATGAGATGACCAGAGACTGCGGACACAGTACAGAAGATGACCAGAGACAGCGGACAGTACAGGGGATGACCAAGAAACTACAAACAGTACAGGGGATGACCAAGAGACTGAAAACAGTACAGGGGATGACCAAGAGGCTGCAGACAGTACAGGGGATGACCAGAGACTGCAGACAGAACAGGAGATTGTGACGAACGCGGGATCGCTGCCACCAATATGTGACGATCCCACAATGGCTGTCACCAATATGTGACGGACGCGGCGGCAGACCCCTGACCTTCTCACCAAACTCGTGACCGAAGGACTGGCCAATCTGGAACCACGATATCACGTGCGTAACAATGCCACACCCAGCCGCACCCTGCACAACGATTTTCCAGCTAATGGCCACAATTGATGTACCGGCAGCCTGAGCAATTGTTACTGGGTCAGGTTAATTACGCAATTAACCCTTCACACTGCCACCACCTCCTTTTTGTACAGAGAAAGAGGAAACTTGGCGATATCCGCCATAAACACTATAATGGTTGAGGCAATCGTCTGTATAACACGGGTCACCGCAGGCCGGTTATACAGAGGGTTAAACAAACACAGTAGCGTTCTCTTTAGAGGCAGGAAATTCATAAATTGCAATTAAGAGCTATAGAAACAGTTCAACACTTTCAGAAGGAAAGATTTATTACTGAAAAGTCAAAGGGGGTGCAATACAAATATTTACATAAAAAAGATGTAACCAATATATATATAAAATATACAGAGACCAACAGCACAGCAAAGAGATATCAGAGAGAGGTGAAAGGGTTACTTGCCAAAGTCCTGGGTTAGCAGTTCCAAGTTTTCAGAGCGAAAGGGCACGGGTCTCCTCAGGTGGTACTGATGTTAAAAAGGGAGACGTCTTCAACTTCCCTCTCTTAGACCTGACAGCCCAATTTGTAGTTCCCCAGCAGGGGGGGTGTCTCTGAAGTCAAGGACCAATAGCCCGTTTAGGGCATGGAGGTCTGGTCTGATACCTCAACTAGAGCCAAAATCTCTCGTAACTCATATTTTGGCCCATAACTTTCCATCTGCACAAGTGACATTCCACCCGCGGGTAGTTTATTATGCAGACACGTCTGAGGATTGATTAGATATGAATTATGAAATTATACACTGAACGGTTCACGAGATCTACTTTTTGGCTTTCCTATGTATTCAAGACAAGGCGAGTGACCTACCAAAATGTTCGTCTCCTCTTAGCCAATCTGACGATATGTCCGGTTTTTATGCAAGTCTCTCATATTCCAAGATATGAGACATAGGGGAACAGATTTTAACAAAGGTTATCTGGTCGTGTTTCCTGGGAATGTTCTTTGAACTCCTGGGAAAGCTTGCCTTATCTTATACGAGGTGTTACATTGCACAGGTTCTTTGGACAGCTAGGCCCCAGCTCCCTTGGGGACTTTATAGCTCCTAGCCCCCTGCTGGGCCCTGGCCTCCTGTGACACTCCTAACACACACACACACTGGCCAAATGTTGCTGTGACTCTCAGAGAGGGGGGGGATAATGAGGGGGAAATATGTTTGTCAGGATGGTTAACCCCTTTGCCAAGATGGAGGTTGAAGCCAAAATGGTTGAACCGCATCCATCTCTGTGTGTACGCTTGCTACAGAGATGACCAAGATACTGCAGACAGTACAGGAGATGACCAAGAGACTGCAGACAGTACAGGAGATGACCAGAGACTGCAGACAGTACAGGGGATGACCAGAGACTACAGACAGTACAGGGGATGACCAGAGACTGCAGACAGTACAGGGGATGACCAGAGACTGCAGACAGTACAGGGGATGACCAGAGACTGCAGACAGTACAGGGGATGACCAGAGACTGCAGACAGTACAGGGGATGACCAGAGACTGCAGACAGTACAGGGGATGACCTGAGACTAGACAGTACAGGGGATGACCAGAGACTGAAGACAGTACAGGGGATGACCAGAGACTGAAGACAGTACAGGGGATGACCAGAGACTGAAGACAGTACAGGGGATGACCAGAGACTGAAGACAGTACAGGGGATGACCAAGAGACTGCAGACAGTACATGGGATGACCAAGAGACCACTGACCTATGGGGAGGGATGGGGAGTGGGTACCTGAATTTGACAGGTACCTGCTCCCACTTCCGCGGAGTTGTCTTCCCTTTAGTGTAGACACCCGGTTGACAGCCGGGTGCCCACTGTGCATGAAGCGCTGCGCTTTGTGAATGGCTTGGCGTCTTCTGAGACCTGTCATGGCCATTCACAAAGAGCAACGCTTTTCACAGCCAGGTGCCCACACTAAAGATGCTGGCACGGGAAGACTGTAAAGCGCTGGACCGAGGAACAGGTAAGGTCCTGCTGCAGAGAAGAGCTGAGCAGCCGGCCCAGTATTCTGACACTGGGGCGGCAGCAATACCAGACTAGCAGCTTCATATTCGCTCCATAAGATGCACTGACATTTTCCCCCCTTTTTTGGAGGGAAAAAAGTGTGTCTTATGGAGCGAAACATACAGTACATGTGCCTGTCAAACAGGTGCAGAAAAATTGTGTCTTGGGTGTTGGTGTGTGCCCTAAACCAAAAACATTGTTGGAAGCTAGCATAATCAGAAGTAGGTTAGGCAGCATAGGCAGACTTTAAGGAATCCCAGATCCTTAACAAAGTAATCAGTTACATCAGCATCAGGGGCTTGACAGCTGCTGTTGATCCAGGATTTCATTCATTTTGATAAATGTCAGCCGGTCAATGGAGTCTGTGGACAGACGCACTCTTTTATCCTCTAGGAGCACGGACTGTCCGTAAGGAAAGCACACTGGATGCAGGACAGGCCAGTAGCTTGATTGCATATTGAGCAGGTTCTGGCCAGTGATACCAAGACCCAGTAACCCAGTGGATCCTCAGTTGGAAAGGCCTCCAATTCTGCTCTTTCCTGTAGATAATCCTGCACCACATGATGCAGATGCTGTCAATGGTTGCTTAAGCCTAGCAGCCCTGGGCACTGAGGACTAAATAATTGTTTAAAGGCATTGGTCAGCTGGTCGCCCTTCTCCACCACTCTTCCTTTGACCGAACAAGTTGTCCATGAAATGATAATCTCCCAGTGTCTGGAAAGGTGTTACACAAGTTTTTCTTCAAGGCATCCTCAAGATGTTTCATTCTCTGCTCCCTCTGCGAAGGCAGGATGAGCTCTGAAATTTTACCTTTGTAACATGGATCAGATGCCAACCAGTAATGATCCCTCTCCTTGATACCACGAATCCTCAGGTCCTTTTGCAAGCTTTGCAGATTCAGGGAGCCCATGCAGCGAAAGATTGAGGAAGCAGGAGATTCTGACTCCTCAAGATCCTTGAGGATGACATTGTCAGGAATTACCTCCTCCCAGCCACATACTCCTCCTGGGGTTTCTGGGGACTGAAAACCATCCCTTGAAGACTGCCATATGTTATCCTCTACTTCCATGCTGCCACAATCCACCTCCTCTTCTTCTTCCTCCTGTGTGTTCTGCAGCCCCGCAGGAATAGTATCTGCATATAGGGGGGGGCCTTGAGAGGAAATGTAGTTCTCCTCTTCCTCCAGCTGTTCTACCTCAAGTGCCCTGTCCATGATGCCATGCAGCATGTGCTCCAGCAGGAAGACTAGAGGGATAGTGTCACTGGTGCATGTATTGCCGCGGTTCACCATCCTTGTGGCCTCCTCAAATAGTGACAGGGCAGTGCATGCATTCTTTATCAGCAGCCCCTGGTATGGCAAAAAGAAGCCAAGCTGATCTGAGCCTTTCCTTGTGCCGTACTCATACAGGTACTCATTTATGGCCCTCTGCTGTGTGTGCAGCTACTGCAGCATTGCTAATGTTGAGTTCCACCTGGTGGGCATTGCACAAATGAAGCAATTTGCTGCTGTGTCAAAAATTCTTTTTTTAAAAATTGTAAAATAGAATGAAAAAAAAAATTAAGAAAGCAAAATAAAAGGAAACCACTGCTGACGCTGAAGGAAGAACACCTGCGACACAGAAAGGGGGAACACCAATGATGCAGCAACAGAACCAGATGCTTCTGCAAAGAAAAAAAATTAACGAAGAAAACAAAAATGGGAACAGCTGTGTCACAGAATTGCTGTAAAACACACAGACATCACTACATTGCACTTCACAACACCACACTACACTGACTACACTACACACACCACTAACTACACTAAACTCCATCAACACACTACACACGGCTGCTGGGTAAGCAGCCTTATATAGTGTGGCCCCACTATATAAGCCATGACTGGCCAAAGTCACTGTGACTTTGGCCAATCATGACTTTCACTGTGTATTGTGCTGTGATTGGCCGAAGCATTGCACCGGTATTAAATGGTATTGTAATTGTACTGTCTGCCCTCATGTTGTTAAGCACTGCATAGACTGCTGGCTCTATATAAACCCAAAATAATAATAATAACTTTTATACTTATGTACAATTTGATCTACATTATATGTAGACCTAAAAGAGGGATAACTCTCTGGAGAGGTGGAATGGTCAGGCAGGCCGTAAGGTACTGTCAGGCACCGCTCGGTGGGATCTCTAGTGACCCACAGAACAGGATTCCCCAGGGTGCGGAGTCTAAGCCCCAGTCTGCCTTTTCACCAGAGCCCCTGATGGTGGGGATGGACTTGGCGCAGGACTGAGAACAGGTTGCGGCCCCTGAGTGCACCCAACTGTGGTGGAGGGGTCCGCCGAGGGTATGTACCAGGGGAAAGCCGGATGTGAAGGGGCTGGCAGGTTTGGACAGTAGTGACTGGATCCGTGCGGGATGGATGGATCGTCTGGGTAGCGTCAGGCATACTCAGGCAGGCCAGGTCAGCAACGTGCGGGCAGTGAGGTACCGGAGGAGCAGGCAGAGAATAGTCAGGGTCACAAGCTGGGTTCAGTAACTCACGGGCAGCACGGTACAGAGGATCAGGCAGAAGGATGGTCAGGCAAGCCAGGGGTTCAACAGGAGACGGTGAGCAGAGGTCAGGATCAAAGCAGGGTCAGCAACTAGGCAGGAACACAGGATACCAGGTACAGGGGCTCATGGGAAACATACACCAAGGCCCTGATCACAGGCCTGGTCATTCCTTAACCGTTTCAATACCGTGCAATTTTACACCTTCCTGCCCAGGCCATTTTTCAGGTTTCAGCGCTCTCACACTTTGAATGACAATTGCGCGGTCATACAACATTGTACCCAAACTAAAATTTTATCATTTTCTTCACACAACTAGAGCTTTCTTTTGGTGGTATTTAATCACCGTTGGGGTTTTTATTTTTTGCTAAATTAACAAAAAAAGACCAAAATGTTTGAAAAAAAACCACATTTTTCTTTGTTTCTGTTATAAAAGTTTACAAAGAAATAATTGTTCTTCATAAATTTAGGCCGAGATGTATTCTACTACATGTCTTTGGTGAAAATAGCCCAAATTAGGATGTATTTTTTAGTTTGTAGGAAAGTTATAGAGTTCACAAACTATGGTATAGATCTGATTATTGATCAATCCTGAAGTACTGACGGCCAATCTAATTTCTTGAGGTCCAAGAATGTCAGAACAGTACAGATATCCCCAAATGACCCCTTTTTGCAGAGTAGACAGTCCGACGTACTTCATAAGAGGCATGGCGAGTTTTTTGAAGTTGTATTTTTTTGTCATAATTTTTCGGAAAATGAAAAAATGAAAAAAAATTATTTTTCACTATTTTTTTTTTACATACTGTCACCAGTGCAGTACAGCGTCATCATATAACTGGCATGGCGGTGAACAGGGACACTGACTGGTGACAGTATGAAAAAAATATATATATATATATTTTTTTTTTAATTTTTTTTTTTTTTTTTATTATATTTAATTTTTTTATTACATTTTTTTTTTTTTTTTTTAAGATTTTTTTTTCATATTTTACTATTACCAAAGTAGTACAATGTTACCATAGTAACATTGTACTACTTTGGGGAAGTGATCAGTATTTTTTTTTTTTTTTTACACAATTTGCTTATAGCAAAAGAATTACTTTGCTATAAGCAAGCATTTACCTGAATGAAATCGATTCATTCAGCTTTTTTTTTTTTTTTTTTTTTGTGCTTAGCTGTGATTTAGTCACAGCTAATCACATGACATGTGCATGTGATTAGCTGTGACCATTCACAGCTAGGCACTAGTATACAATGGATGGCATCATGAATGAAGCCATCCATTGTATACAACTGTCATGTGACCTGCTGTGATTGGTCACAGCAGGTCACATGGTACCAGCAACGGGAGCCGGTACTCGGATCTGTCATCGGCCGTGTCCGAGGTGCACGGGCGATGACAGATCGCACTGCTGCGTCGCTCTGCATTAGCGCAAACGGCGCATGTGCGGGAGCACGCCAAATGGCGTGCACCCGGAATGCAGGGACACATTTGAAGCCACCAAACGGCCATTGGCCGGGCGGCTAATGGTTAAATACACCTCCTGCAATCAGCCCCAGGTGTTGGCTGACTGCAGAAGGGAGCTTCTGGCTGCTGAGAGCACCCGCTGGTCAGCCCTGGTACTGCAGCCCATACAGCAGGTACCACCAGTGCTGAGTCCATTCCTGACATCTATGGTAATGTAACGTGATGACTACCTGCTGTA